AACCCCCATGGTGTAACGAATGCCGTGTAAGCTCTGCTGTCTTCATGGATAAATCCCTGATGATAGGCGCGGCCTTGATCTAGTACGCTAAACCAGTTGTTTCCTCCAAGATTATCTAAAGATTCCTGCACACGTGGAATTGGGTGTCGATCAGCTAGTGACTTCTTATTTAACTCACGGTAATCGACGCACAACCTTAACGAGCCATCCTTCTTCCGGACGCACACGACAGGTGAGGAATATGGTGACTGAGACTTGCTAATAAAATTCTGGTTGATGAGGTCCTCTATATATTGCTTTATCTCTGGATATAGTGGTCTCGGGACAGAAGTGTATCGTCTTTGAACCGGCTGTTGGTCTGTCAGTGTGATTTGCAKTTCAAGTTCCGTTATGCATCCGATATCCTCATCACTTACTGAAAATGACTCGCGCTCCTCCGTCAACATCTTTGCGGCAATGTTGTACTGTTCTTGGTTCAGGCTACTCAGGTCTACAGGAGGTAGGGAACATGGGATAGCTGTCTCTGAGTCCTCAGCTGGTACAGGTACATGCGGTGGTCCGTCATCATATGTTGGTGGTAAGTCAGTCGGCTCGTCCGATAGCTTGACTTCTGCTGCTGCAACGGAGCGTACTAGCTGCAAATTGCCTAAGTTAGTACGAGGAGAGAGTGTAACATCATGATGAGTCATATTGTGTACTGGTATTCTAATTTTAGAACAGTTTCCTTGCTTAATATGCAAAAGACTATCTCGTAGCTCTAGGCCTTCTGGCAGTTCGATTTGTTCGATAACTGAGGTAGTGTCACAAACAGGTCCCGTGCGTACATAACAGCAAACATAAACAGTTTGTGACTTTGGTAAAGTCATGGTTTTCTTTCCTGTTTTGACTTCACACAAGGATTCTGACATTCTATCCTGGATTAGATTCACTAAAGTATCAATGTCTCTTTCACTTTGGCTTAGGAAACTACGGTGGACCCCTTCCATCTGTTGTGGGCTTATACATACCTCCCTTAAGTAACTCTTCAATAACATTGTAACCAATGATGGGTGAATGTAATTGTTCCTTTGTGACTAAGTTTACACATACTCAAACTACACACATGTCTACCTCCCCTCCCCATTTGGCACACACACACCAACCAAACCCATGTCTATCCCTACCAGTCCCACCCCCTCTAAAACAACCCATACAAACACTCAAATCACCGCCATACTGTCAAAAACACTCCCTCCCCTCCATGAGCGTTTGAACGATGCCTTTTTAAAACTGTAGACACTTTTTCCCCCTACGTCCTCCACTGCATGCATCCCATTTCCACATACCATTGTCTCCACAGGAARCCCATCACGAMAAGACACCCTTGGTGTCACCTGATATGTTACCCACAAACATTACAATACCCGGGTACTCCCCATTCCTCACATAGTTTTTAACCGGCACAAGATCAGTATGGAAAGAACAACAACAAAAAACCTATTAGAAAACCAGTATTTAGCATACACTTCGGGTAACAAGTAAGAACTCTTCCCTCATATTTCGCCCATATACCTATCTMTCGCCTCTTTTATTATCCTTTAACCTACTACTATCTTTAGTTTCAATTCTAACTCGCCGCGTGTTTATCTCGTCGAGCCAATGCATCGTGTAGGGCTGAGCAGTTTTAAGACGTCTTAATTGCATTGAAACACGAAGTTTACTCTGTCTACCGTCTCAGCCCCTGATGATGTACGGTAGCCAGTGCATTTGGCCTCCCTTGCCTTCCCCAGTTTACCATTATCCGCTCCTTCCTTCCCTACGAGATCACCACGCGACATT